TTCTTTCTAAAGCCCTAGAATCCATCGTCCATAAACAACTTTATTCTTACCTCTCCTCCCATAACCTTCTATGTCCGTTTCAGTCTGGTTTTCGTCCATCTCATAGCACTGTTGGAGCATTACTGAACATTACGGAAGACATACATCGTGCTATGGATGATACGAGGCTCACTGTCATTGCCCTCTTGGATTTCAGCAACGCATTTAACTCTGTTGACTTTGACATTCTCCTTGGTGCCCTTCAGGCGGTTAATATCCCCTCTTCTGTTTTAAGTTGGTTCTCTATTATCTTTTCGGTCGCCAGCAGTGCGTGAACATCAATGATGGCTCGTCAACTTAGTCTAACTTAACTGCTGGTGTGCCCCAAGGCGGCGTACTCTCTCCCTTACTCTTTTCCATTTTATTAATAATATTTCCCGTGTCATTTCTTCTCCCTTCCATCTATATGCTGACGATCTTCAATTCTATCGTAACTTTGAGGTGGGCGAGGTATGCCATACAGGTATGGGCAAAGTCATTTGACCGTTTTGTTAATCCGGCTAAGTCTCAAGCCATGATTGTAGGCAGTAGCAGATTAAGGTGCAAGTTGGATTGGTCATCTGTACCTGCGTTGGTACATGATGGAACTACAGTATATGCAATGGGATTGCAATTATACTAACAACTGCAAAAAATCTAGGTCTAGTAATGGACTGCACATTGTCTTGGACTTCTCATGTCAATGAGGTTAGCAAACGAATGCACTTCTCATGTCACTCTCTCAAACGACTCCAATACTTTATCCCTTTTCATACCAAAATTATGCTTGCACAAACTCTTCTACTCCCCTTACTGGACTATGCCGACGTTCGTTATTTAGATGTGACCGAAGAGCTTATGAATAAACTAGAGCGCCTACAAAACTTGGCTATACGATTTATTTTCGGTCTCCGTAAGTTTGACCGTGTTTCCGAATTTCGCGCTCGGTTAAAATGGCTCCCGATTCGCCTTCGCTGTGATTGGCATATCCTGTCCGCCCTTTTTAATACACTTCATGCCGCCAACTGCCCTTCCTACCTTCTTTCCCGTTTAATGTAAGGTTAATATTCGGTTTTTCCTTGAGAACAATTTCATAACGGTAGCAAAAGACCGTAACTGTATTTCAATAATTATTAATACAACGATCGACCATTCAGAAAAAATTCTTTCGATCCGGCCGAATTCGATCCGACGTCTTCTGGCATACCGTGCCGGTCGCTATACCGACTAAGCCACAGAACGAAACAGCGGACCTCACGAATTTTTCTATATGTTTGATCTCGTATCTTCTGGTCGTAGATCTGGGTGACGAAATACTTAAGAGTTCTCATAGATGGCGCTATGGCTAAAAAGTCGTTAAAAACCTAATACAAAGACACGGCAACAAACACAAAAAAAACTTCGTGGCGTCCGCTGGTTCGTTCCGTGGCTTAGTTGGTATAGCGTCTGGCACGGTATACTAGAAGACGTCGGTTCGAATCCGGCCGAATCGAAGGAATTTGTTCTGAGTGTTCGATCTTTGTATTAATAATTATAACAAACTAGTGGAGTAATTTCACATAAAAAATAATTGAATATCAATTCAATAAAAAATTCTGTACTATAATAGTTATAACTTTGTAGCGCGAGCATCGCCGAAAAGGAGTCAACCGAGAGCCCAATTAGCGCGGTGACCAGTCAGGGCGCCCGCTCGATACCAAGATTGGCTACTTAGCCATATGATTTTTAGTGCGGGAATACACGTCCGATAGGCATCAGATTCTTTTGTCAGACTTTTTCGGAACTAACTCCAGTGTTGCCAATTTGTGGGGAATTCCCCAAATGCAGGGAATTTTAACTGAAGAACTCGTTTGGAGATTACGCAATGTGGGGAAAATGACTTCGCATTCTAGCATTTTATCATATTTCTATTAAATTGATGATCACTTCATGAATGCTGGTTGTGTTTTACTATCCACCGCCAACCGCCAACCGTCAATCGTGCAACCCACAACGGCAATATCGTCCTCGGTATATATACAGGGTGTCCGGTAATGAATATATCATACTGAAATGGCTTATAGCACAGCTTAAGACTGTTCCAAAAAAGTGCAAAAAAAATCTATCCCATGTAGTACCTAAGGAATGTTTTTTTAAGTCGTTTTTTCAAGTCGGTTACAAATCAATGTTCACCTTTACGGTTCAGTAGTAAAGGTGATCAAAAGATAAATTGTTCTGTTACCCACACCACCGCATGGAACAGCCCCCCATTGTTAGAGATACGAGTATTTTCTTTATTACAATTACAATAAAGATATAATATTTTTGGAATATACGGAGACTTACATGCAGGTCAGTTGTTGACGCTGCAGTATTTCAGCTTTCTAATTTGTGATTTCAGCGCAAACGAGAGTTGATATTTAAAAGTGACATAAGTCCCATTTGCCTGAGAGTTGCAAGAGACGGGCGGCCCTTATTTCGTATCTATTTCTGGTTATATACTCGATGTGTGAGTATCAAGATGATTCAATCGGCCAGGAATTTAGTTAACGAGATGCTTTATCATCCTAATGACTAACATACTGCGTCGTTTAGATATGACAAACTTAGTTAAATATGTGTAGTTGCTTGGCTTACGGAAACAATTGACTCAGAAAAAACAGACACTGACTAAGTAATTAATTAATTAAGCAGTAAATAATTAACATATGGTGATTTTAACAAATCTATATCGCTCCTTGTAGCTATGTCTATAGTATATCGACTGTGAACTGGCAATCGGTACTATCTCAATTTTGACAATTTTACAGGTGAAGAAAAAAATTGCGTCATTTATATAGCATCCGGTTTATTAAATAAAAATACGTAGTTTTTAAATAAATAATAAATAAACGCAACACACTCATAGCCCCGCACTAGAATAGAATAGAATACGTTTATTTGCCAGAATACAGTAATGATAAAGGTCTTAAATAAAATTAGGTACATTGTATTCAACCCGCAAGCAGATGTGCAAATATTAGGGGTTAAAGTATGAAATTGCCGTTTTATTGCAATAGGTTCTTTGAATTTTTATAGAATCTTCATGGTTTGAGGTTTTCGAATGAAACTTTTTTCAAATGGTTTCTGTGATTTTTTTTTTTTTAATTTGAAACATTTGAATATCGACTTTCAATTGTTTTTGTTATTCAATTTAGACAAGAAAGATGGATACTGCGAAAATTCGAGTGATTTTTGAATACGAGTTCCGACGCGGAACTAACGCGGCAGAATCAGCCCGCAATATCAATGCTGCGTTTGGAGAGGGGTCTACTAATGAACGCACCGTGCGATTTTGGTTTAAACGCTTTCGTGATGGAAATTTCGACTTAAAGAACGAGCCACGAGGAAGACCGCCCACACAGGTGAATAACGATGAATTAAGAGAGATAGTGGAAGCCGATCCTAGTCAAACTACCCAGGAATTAGCGGCATGGTTTAACGTTACCTTACCCACAATATTGACTCACTTGCGTCAAATCAATAAAATAAAAAAATACGAAAAATGGGTGCCTCATGATTTGACTGATCTGCAGAAAGGAACGCGTGTTGAAACTTGTGTTGCCTTGTTGAACCGGTACAGAAATGAAGGAATATTGGATCGAATTGTAACATGTGATGAAAAGTGGATTCTTTATGATAACCGGAAAAGAAAAATGCAATGGCTGACCCCAGGTCAAATGCCACAACAGTGTCCTAAAGCAAAACTTACCAATAAAAAGGTAATGGTAACTGTTTGGTGGTCTCAGCATGGTGTTATTCACTATAGTTTTCTCCGATCTGGTCAAGCAATAATGGCAGATGTCTATTGTGCCGAACTCCGAACCATGTTGACAAAACTAGCAGTAAAACAGCCCCGACTCATGAATCGATCTTCACCATTATTGCTCCACGACAACGCGAGACCTCACACAGCACGAGAAACCATTTTGACCCTTCAGGAACTGCAGTTAGAAACCATTCGTCATCCTCCGTATTCACCAGACCTTGCTCCAACGGACTACCATTTTTTTCGTGATTTGGACAATTATCTACGTGACAAGAAGTTTTCTTCCCAGGAGGCAGTACAAAATGCTTTCACACAGTTTGTGCAGTCTAGATCGTCGGAGTTCTATCGCAAAGGCATTAATAACCTTCCCATTAGATGGCACCAATGTATAGATAATAATGGCAACTATTTTGATTAAATAAATTTGTTAAAAATTTAAAAAATAAACAAATTAGATTTTCAGTACAAATCGGCAATTTCATACTTTAACCCCTATTATTAATGTCATGTTTGGTTTCTATTGTTAATTGTACTTCAAATTAATGTAAATTTTTATTTGGAAATTCTAAGTATTCTTTATTACTATAGAAGCAATGTGTCAAAAGCCATTTTGTCAATTGTAATTTAAAAGTATGTCCTTGCAACAACTTAATTTAATTTGGCAGATTGTTGTAAATAATTATACACATGTTGAAGCTGTTTTTCTTATAATTTACTTTATGGCAACGAGGTTGGTACAAAAGCTGCCTTTGATTAATTTCACCACGTATTTTGAAATATTGAGGATAAGTTTTGACAAATGCACAGATATCCCTAATGTACATGCATGGCAAATGCAGTATGTTTAGTTTTTTAAACAGCGGTTAGCGGTACAGCTGTTGTCCACTATGGAGACCCTGAGTCGCGGGTGCCATAGACACACACATAGACAACCGCAAATTACACCCAAACTCACGAGAGAAATATATGTAGGCCTGGAAATCGAACCCAGGACCTCTGCGTGACAGTGATATTTTTATTACACATATATGTATGTACACTACGTATTTTTATTTAATGAACCAGATGCTATATAAATGACGCAAAAAATTTGTTTCTTCACCTGTAAAGTTGTCAAAATTAAGATAGTACCGGTTGCCAGTTCACAGTCGATATGTAGAACACCTTTTTCGAACCATTGATGATAATTATAACTTCGAATCCTACAATAAACAATTGAGTATTGGCTTTGTAAATTACAGATTTGTCCGATGAAAACCGCGGTCTTCTCTCGAGTCACGCTTCTTCCACGGATTTCCAATCGACGGAGACCCTCACCGAGTCTTCCGGCGTTCCGAAGACGGGCTATGACTTTTTGGACAACTGGTAATTGTATAATAAGTTGCAGGCTTGTCACAAATCCAGCAACAAGAAAAGAAAAAACCTGACTGAAGAAAAAGCCTGACTACTTTAATAAATATGACCTATATAATATTTTATAAGAGGATTCTTAAAGAAAATGCTAGAACTTCGACAATTTTTGTATTTTTTTTACGAAATCGTGTGAAACTACTTTCCAAGTTTTATTGAAATTCAGTTACCGGAATGTGCGCGACACAGGATTCATCCCTTAGTTTGCCACCCTTAGAGGAGGAATATTTTCTTCAAATTTAAATACAAATACTGAGGTACCCTCTTTCCAACAAAGAAATAATCATCAAAATCACAAAAAACATACAGTTCAATTGAGAACCTCCTCCTTAATTGAAGCCGGAAAAAAAAAGAAATTTGTATTCAAATTTCCGAACTGACAGTTCGAATAAAGATGCGTTCAAATAAACGCGTTCACAAAAAAAGCGAGTATAAATGTCAAACTTTGTCTAGTTCAATAAATCCGTAAGCACTATCCACGACAGTGCCACTCAGAGCTTTAAATCTCAAAGATCTGGCTCTGCCACTGCTCCCGTCACTCTTACGACACAAGTTGACAAGTCTCATGTCACCTTCAAAGACGTAACGCAGTTATGCTCATATTACTGCTTGGCGGCAGAAGGTGGCAGTAGTTCCCTGGACGAAGTCGAATTAATCAAGAAATGCATTGACTTACAATTATATGGACATCGGGTCCGCGCTAAAAAGTGTCCGAACTTATAGGGCGTTAAAATCGTATACAGAGCGTCATTCACGCTTTAGTCTTCGTTTGTTCGACTGACAGCGAAGCAAGCAAAATTAGACAGTACTGCGATGACATTACAATTTAAATTCAACGTTTTAGCTTTTTCATATTCCTTTATATGTCACTACGTTTAAATAGGTTGACTTGGGACATTTTTTTCGTGGTTTTTGTATTAGACTGGTCGTCCATTTATTTGTAAGTCAATGAAGAAATGCAATTGATTCCATTACGATCCACTTGATTTTTTTTAGTGTTGTAAAGGACTTTTCGAATGTAAATTATCTGTAATGTCGGCTTTAGCGACGGAATGTAAGCGCAATGACAAAAGATATTTCCAAAGTTGTCAATTTACTTTCGAAAAGGACTTCACGAAAGATAATATTCTACAAGCGCGAGAATGACCATTGCGCACGCTAATGCTATTTAGTAGCGCCGTAGTTGGTAGGCAAGAGAAAAGTATTTTTCGAGTTTTGTCTGTTTTGCATTTATCCTTAAGCTCAGTTTACATAGCCGCGGGAGGACCACGAAGCTAACTTTTATAACCGTAGCTTAATTTACAAGTAAAGCGTATCAACCCCATCAAGTGCGCCTCGATATCGCGACCACAAATAAGACGAAATACTTTCATAGATTTCTCATAGATGGCGCTACGGATAAAAAGTCGTTGAAAACCAAATACAAAGATCCGACAAAACAAGCACGTGAGGTCCGCTGGTTCGTTCCGTGGCTTAGTTAGCATAGCGTCTGGCACGGTTTGCTTGTTGATATTGTAAAATATGAAACTAGCTATAATCTCATTATTTATTAAGGGAATCCACACTGGTTCTATTTAATATTTGTAAGCTATTCTAAATTGAGTGATTGTAGAATTTAAGTTCTCAAATTGCAATATGATCTAACGGCCTTTGGTCACTTATATCCTCCTCTCGGAAGCATATTTAGAGGAAGCTTATAGACGTTGAAGTATGATAACAATGTTCATAATAATAGCAATAATCTCCCTATACAGTAATAATACAGCAATCCTTGTCATAAACAACGTAATCGGCATTTTTTGCGAAATTGAGTTATTAACATATCTAAAATCTGCGGAACTAGATCTTCAACCCTCTGTAATCGGTTTTTTAATATCTTATTTAGTTTCAGTTTTATTGTTGAGCAAAACCAGCCTTTTAAAATTTTTAAAGAAAAAACTTCAGGTGGCCTATGTCTCGAAAGTTACCAACTAATATATAACCAGAAATAGAGACGAAATAAGGGCCGTCCATCCATGGCAACTCATCAGGCAAATGGGCCTTATATCACTTTTAAATATCAACTCTCGTTTGCGCTGAAATCACAAATCAGAAAGCTGAAATAGTACAGCGCCAACAACTGACCTGCGTGTACGTCTCCGTATATTCCGTATTTATATTATTAATATTCTGTATTTATTGTATCTCTAGCAATGGGGCACTATTTATAAAACAAAACAAACGGAATCACATTTCATCCATAATTAAACATTAAATATATAATTTTTCAATTTATGTCCATTATATCAAAGCTCAAGTTAAACTGGTCGATTTGAAGTGAAACAATTAAAATTAATTGTTTCGAATTCGAGCTGGCCAATCGGAGCGCAGTTATCACTGTAATGATTTGGCAGAATAGTTTTCAAACAAATTAAATGACATTGCGTCTCTATAGCGTTGTTTATGATAAGGAGATCAGAGTAGAGCTGGTGCGTAGTATTAAGTTTTGCCAAAAATTATGCGTTAGTTTTTTAACTTCAATTAAGACTGTTTTTTTATTTTTCATAATTACCATAAAGATATTTTAAACTTAACCCTTTGAACGCCGTGGACGATTTAAAGCGTCTTACATTAACTTGCCAATGACGCCTTAAAGCTTCAATGAAAGAAGATATTCCTTGTGTTATTTGTATATTATATTTAAGTATGGATTCGTAATTGCAATTTATGTTCAGTTACGGTCTTTGACTTAGGAGAATTGGATTAATATTATGGTGGAAATTCATAACATGTCATATCACTATACAGGCTTGGCGCCTAGGGAAAGAACTAGTTTTCGTCAGCGGTGGTCAAGGTTAACCTTTGACAAGTTATTTAAGACCCGTGTTGCGGATATTTGATTAACAAAAGTAGTTTACTAACATCACGTACATTGCAGTTAAAAATCGACACTAGCACAACAATTTTAGGGTCGTTAAGGAAACTTGTCAACATATAGTTTAAAATGTCTATGCTCTAGCCAAATTCGATGTAGAACTAGGGACGCTGTATCGATACAAAAATATCGATACAATGCTTTTGTCATGCCGATTCCCTACTTAAAGGCACAATAAAACACATGAGTTTGTCTTTTTATTGATTTATGATTTTTAATTGATACAAATAATAAAATAATTTGATCAAGTCAATCAATCGTAATTTCACATCGTCATCACATAAGAACAAAAATATATTTGGTGACGGTCCGTTTGTCGTTTTTGACATTGTTATTGTCTGCGTTTGAAAGTTTGAAAACAAACGTTCTAAAGAAGCGACAAACTTCTTTTAAAGAGGCAAATGGTGGGTTACAATATACAGCTAAGTATTTTGTGACAAAGTTTAAAAAAAATAGCTAGGTGACTTGCGTTATGGTTTGAGGTGTCCTACGATACGATACTTGACAAAAAGTACTAATGCCTGAAAAGTATCCAATGGAAAGTACCGGTATCGGAGGGAAAAGTACTCGATACCAAAAAGTATCGATACTTTTTAATCGCACCCCTCATGGTCTTCCATGAGGCATAATTGACGTTAAGTCAGAAATGTTTATTGCTCCATTAAAAGTCGATACAGTTACTAGAATTGGATTGAATTGGAATTGCCTAGCAAGGTTTTCTTATTAGACATTCTATGTCGAATTTGGCTGGAGTATAATATTTAGCATAGGTAACTCAAACAAACTTGAACATTTTGTGTTACACGTTTACTAGCTTAGATTTTGTAATTTCATGAACAAGAAATGTAAGTATTATAAACTATCTCGAGTGCATTTATAACTTGACTGTGTTTTTTTTATTCTTTTATTATTAATAACTATTGCATGCAAATGAATTGTAATCTCTTATCCAAATATAATTTATAGAATTTTTTGTTTGTATTGTTTTATTTTAACTTAACCTAAACTATGGTCAAAGAACAAAAAATTAACGAGAATGGACTCCGCCCCTCCCTAACTTTAGATACCGCACCACACATTGACGGTCACATTGATTGAACGGCAACAAGGCTGTCGGCGAGCCGTTTTCGCGCTAAGACAGGTTTGATATTTGAATATAGTTTTCATTTATTCATTATGAAATGTGTACGTTAATATATAACATCATTTTACGTTACTATTTATAATGGTCGTGAGTTGTGCCGTCCACGGCTATATGTCATCATCTAAACGATATAAAGAGAGCAGTTTCTTTCGTTTTCCGAAAGATGAAACGAAGTAAATAAACTTTTGTCTGAAACTCATTCAGTTATTATATTCTTCATTTATTTAGTGCAGAGTAATATATATATAATACAGATTTATTATATCAATATAATGAGATGTAATATAGCATACAAGGGTTCTGGACTTTTAAATTTTTATTGCCGATAAATATGTAATAAATCTTAGAATAATAACGCATAGAATGACAGGTTCATGTCAAACGAACTGTCACAAGTGAGGCAAAAATCAAATAAATTCATGTAGGCTAGTTTTAGTAGTAGGTTAATTTTCGGGTTTAGTGAATATCTAAATAAAAATACAAGTTGAAACGCGTTAGTTCCTTGTGGAATGTGATGTTAGTATCTATTTTATGTTTGTCTGACGTATTTTTACACTCATTTACCGCACATTTCATCATTTTTAGCTAAAATTCTTGAGCTGTTCGCGGTGCAAGTTGACCTTGAGCACTGAAGGCCCGCCCGCTCGTGTAGGCCCTTTGGGCGCGCTTCAATTTGCCTCACTTAGCGTGTGTGGACTAGGTTTCTATGTAATAAATATAATTATTAACATAGTAGTAAGTTACTTTATTTAAAAGTATCTGTCAAAAATATAACGTTTTTGGCTTTTAAATTAAATTTTTAAAATAAACCTTCAGGATTATTCTAGTTAGTGAATTAATGAAAAATATAATATATACCTAATGAACATGTGTGATTATTAGGATTCTATTAATAGAATTATAGATAACAGATTCGTGTTAGAATTTTCGTCATGTTGCCGCTCTGAGCACGTACGAGAAAGTGATTGGTAACCCTGCCATTTCACGCACATATTTGCGCGTGTTATGATAGCGTCTTGTTGTGTGTAGTAGTAGTAGTAGGTAAATAACTTTCGACTGTTGGGCGGAGTTGGGTAAACCTACAGACTAACTGTGTAAGGGGAAATAAAGGACTATGTTGCATCGAAGTTGTCTTTCCTGCTCAATGTTGCCGTTAAAACAACTCTTCTACTAATTATCTGTAAAAATTTTGACAGTGTTACCATTTAAGCGCTTTCTATTATCTATCAAACTTTTTACATTGTTGCCATTTAACCCCTCGTTTTGTTTAATTATCTGTCAAACATTTGATAGTTTTGCTGGTTGAACTACTTAAATCTTACTTTTATATCTGTGAATGTTTACACCTGCCACAAATGGTGAAGGAAAACAACTTCATAAAACCACAAAAAGGTCGCAATGCTTGAAAAACGTGAAATCCCCAAAACCCTTCCTTATACCCAGCAGTGTGATGTACTTGGATAGCGATATTTTAAAGACGCAAAATGTAATTATTTTCAGTGAATCAATTGGCAGAGCGGTAGCCACGTTTAGGCAACAGTCGCTGGGTCGAGTCCAGTCTGGTCGAAAGATTTTTTGTGTTTGTTTGAATAATAATAAACTAGCGAAGTATTTTCATAAAAATAGATGAAAGAAAAATATGATATTCAATAAAAATATTGTAATTAATTAAACGACATCTCTGTCACTTTTCTGGTAGCTGTAAAGGTACCTTGACTGAGTGAAGAAACTTTCATAAGCTCTCACAGATGGCGCTACGGTAATGTTTACATCCAATACAAAGACCCGCAACAAATAGAAATTCGTATAATCGTGCTGGCTCGACTCGGATTAGGGGGGCCACTCTCGATCTCCGTCCGAAACAATTACTGTCAAATTAGTAATATTCGACAAATATTAAAAGACAAGTATCCAGTATGAAGCTTCATTCGCATCACGCGTCTTTTCATTTGGTCAAGATCGAGAGTAGACCCCCTGACTTGCGGTAGCGGTAGCCACGCCATTGCAATTGAATTTTTCTTTGTTCCTGTTCCATTTTAATAACAAACTAGTGGCGTATATCCCCAAAAAAATAGATGAATATCATGCAAGGTTAGCAAGATTAAATAATTTTGATTTATATCAAATTATTTTTTGAATAAAAATCAGTGATTTGATGATATGTGTTTAAGTTTATTTTCTTTCACAGAAATTAACATAAAATCAGACAATTATATTTTGAAGACTAGGGGTATTTTACATCTGAGAAATCAATATCATTATTATAATATTTAAACAAAAAAAATTAGCTTGCCGCGGTTAATTAACCTTCTACATTACCACGTTTTACGCAAAACTTATACTTAAACTGTATGATAAAATGAAAAAAAAAAATATCGTGATTAATTAGGATTTTTTCAAAAAATCGTGCTTTAATCGATTTTTTCCAACCACGGTTGTAAAAATTTTAAGATGTTCAATAAAAACTAAGTATTCTTCATTGACCTGTAGGTCATTGGTATTGTTTGCTTGATTTTGACATATTTATTCATAATTTTTGACGCAAATACAGGAGTATTTTATTTTATATAACAAAAAATAAAATGTTCTATTACAATTATTTATTCGAACAATCAACAAACTTTTATTTCGGACAAAACACCTTTCATTTAAAGTTAATTATTATTTTTAACATTTACAGTTGTTGACTTAGAAAAGTAAAAGCTATATTGAAAAATGCAAAGAACAAGTTAGTATCCGGATATGATCATGCCCTTTTCCACCTGGTCTGCTTTCTCCTTGCCAACCAGTTGCTCTATCAGGGATAGACCAAACCAATATGCTGTGCCTGGACCCTGGGGACAAACAACCTGTATTAACATTTTGCAATGGGTATTTACATTGTGCTCCTTACACTGTAATATTACCATTAACAACCGCAAAACTCTCTCTTCTCTTATCTCTTCAGGTAATAATCTCATTTGTAAGAGGTGTTTCTTCGTTTTATACCAAGTGAGGGGACGATCAAGTCGTACGTCTGGTGGTAAGTGACACGCCTAGCCATTGCAGTGGCAGTGTCACTTAGAGCTTTGAATTGCAAAGGTCTGAGGGGCATCGCCACTGCCCCGTCAATCTGAGACATAAGTCGACAAGTCATGGGACTTGTGCCTGTAATTTCACCAGAACCCTTCAAAATCGGAACGCAAGTAATGCTCACACATCGAGTATATAACCAGAAATAGAGACGAAATGCCATTTAATTTGTTTGAAAACTATTCTGCCAAATCGTTACGGTGACAACTGCGTTCCGATTGGCCAGCCCGAATTCGGAACAATTGACGAGGGTCGTCCGATTGCTTCACTTGAAATCGTTCAGTTTAACTTTAGCTTTATTACATATTTAATTACTGATGAAATGTAATTCTGTTTGTTTTGTAATTAGATGTGTCCACCGAATGGACCAGCCCCCCATAGTTAAACATATTTATTATCTTTATTACAATAAATACAGACTATTTTCGGAATATACGGAGACGTACACGCCAACAACTGAGGCGTTGTACTATTTCAGCTTTCTAATTAGTGATTTCAGTGCAAACGAGAATTGATATTTAAAACTGATATAAGACCCATTTGCCTTATGAGTTTCCGGTGAGGGATGGATTTCGTCTCTATTTCTGGTTGATTGATGTGCCCACATTACTACTTGGCGGCAGAAATAGGTAAGGTGGCAGCACGTCTCTGGATAAACTCTTTCGCAAGAAGCTGGCAGTGTAACTTCGTATTTCGGCTAGCGATGTGCGACTTTGAATGTTACTAATACTAACCATTCGCCTAAATCGAATCCAAGCACTATCATTCGACTCGGGTCAAATGATTACCGATACTGGATGCCCCTGCCATTCGGTCGAGTGTACTCGAATGATTATGTGTCGGAATTACTCGTAACTCGATCATTCAACATGTCAATATCAATTTTTTTTTATAGTATCCAGTGACGGGATGTCGCGCCTGATGGTAAGCTACACGCCTGTCCATAACAGTTGCAGAGCTGTTCAAGAATTTTTCCTGGTCCCCGTCACATTTACCATATGGTAATAAATATTGTAATTGGTAAAAAGAGAGTATCTGCACCAGACCAAATTTCACAGGAGAGGGATTTAACGTTATGACCTTGTTATTTCAATGGCTACTACTTTAATTTTTGCACAGTAAACATTAATTTATGTTGCCTACGGACTGATAACAATAGATTCCCGTAAATCACGCTAATTTGGTTGGCACGACATTTACGCGAATTTGAATTGGCTACAAAACTACCGGAATGAAGACTCATAATCCAATGTTAGTTACGCGTAATTTCACTATCTCCGACGATATGTCAGAGAAGGCTAGGCAGAAATGCTTTACGGAATCTATGGATTACTAATACTAATTAGTAATGAATGATCATTCGTATACGAAAATTGTAGGTTACTAATTGGTCATTCGAACGACAGGATTAGTCTGTTCCAAATACATTTTGAACAAAAAGTAAACAAAACTGTTTGGTTAAAATTCGATCGATCGAATCGAATCGAATCGAATAAATAACACTTTCACGTATATTTCGAAGATTTTGACTTGATATCTCATCACTTTTTTCAACAATATTTATTTGAATAGCATCTTAAAATCGTATTTGAAAAATGGTAGTCCAAAAGTGAGGTTATTTTTTATCTATATATCTATGACTTGTCTATGGTTGCATAGTGCTGTACGAAAAAAACATTTCGTTCATTCAATTAAAGTTTTTGTAATCGATTAATAAATCGAATATTTCAATCGCAATCGAACGAGTATCTAAGTTTAAGGATTTGAAGGAGGGCTTAAAATTAAGATTTCGGAAATTTTAAATATGCCTGTAGGGAAAACCGCTAGTATGACTCAAGAACAAATCGATTCATTCAATTAATCGATTTGTAGCTGGCATTACAATTGGCCATCACTAAACCGTCTATGGTTGGGTCAGTGACTCGTTTGTTTACATTTTGTTGAAAATGGATTGAAACGAAGTATAGTAATTACCAACTTATTCGCAGTCGCGCATCACTAGTTTCGGCTGTCATCGGATTTCTATCAGTTGCAACGTTTCCAAATGACTCCATTTCTTACATTTTTCGTAACTTTTCACCCTCTCGCATAATATATAAGTAGTTTGGTTTTCAAGGCAATTTTAGTAACGTCCGGACGTTTAGATTTTTTTAATGCAACAATGTTACAATCAACGTCCTCCCTTAACATCGACAGGTCTGTTATATTAACTGTCGTTAATGAAAATGAAGAACATTACATTCTGATACTCACGCGGCTAGTTGTCACGTTGCCATCCACAACCACTCTCTCTCCTTCGACATAGGTATAGTTGCCTACAATTTTCTCCTTTGTACTTGGATAGGAAGTAATGCGCTTGCCTTGAGCCACCCCATGTGCCACGAACGCTGTCGGTGCTGGAATGATTATTGTAAAATGAGCACAAAACATGGTATACAATACCTTATTAAAGATCAAGCGAAATTTCTATAAAATAAATTTCAAGTCACCAGCGCAAATGGCAGCAATGATCTTTCCACTTTTCTCGTGTTCTTTAAGCAGAGTGCCCACGACGGTGGATTTTGACAGACGCTCCGAGCCTTCCAGGCCACCTGGGAGAATCACCTGGAAAAGCATTCGTAGGTTCTTAATAACTTAATTAATAGATTCAGACGTTACTTTGGGACGTCCATGTTAATAAAAATGGATTCACTGGATTCGCGGTATAGCAAATTAATTTACTTCCGTTTTTACTGCCTCCGTGGCCGAACGGTTACCGTGCCGGAATGCCACGCCGAGGTCCCAGGTTCGATTTCCGGGTCGGGAGAAATATTGGCCTACATTTATTCCTCGCGTGAGTTTGGGTGTAATTTGTGGTGGTCTATGCGTATGTCCATGGCACCTGCGACACAGGGTTTCTCTAGTGCTGTGCTACGCTGAGTTTGTGCGTTATAAAAAAACCGATTTCAAAATACGTAGATACACATCTATTTCTCAAGTTTTATTTAAATTGGTTAACGGAAAGTGGGTGAACTCCAATAAATCGGATGCATCCCCTAGTTTGCCAACCTTAGGCTCAAATTATATTGCGGCGGAGCGGAATGGAAGGAATTTTTCGAGCATGCGGGAGAATTCCGCGGAAGATTTTGGGCCGTACCTAGTTTGTATGTTACACATTTCATCATAAAGTTCATTATTCTATGTACAATATCGTTACAAAAATTCGCTTACATTGCGTTCCGCCGCAATATAAATTGAGCCTTAGAGGCGGATATTTTCTTCAAATTTGAATGGGACCACGTTGAGGTACCACCTTTCCAACAAAAAAAGAATTTTACCGAAATCGGTTTACAAAACATGTCGGAGTAATCTCGTAGTGCACACACACACAGACACACACAAAAAACACAGTCGAATAGAGAACATCTTCCTTTTTTTTAAGACATTTAAAAACAGGTGGCGACACCATTAGATTTCAGAGAAAAAAGTTACAGTTACCGTCAGCGCTGGGGTTTAGCGTGAGAAGAAAACCAGCCAAAAGCGGGAAACACATAGAGAGCGGGTGCGGGTCGGGTCGGGAGCGCGGCGGGTCTAATTCCGTGTATTTATTAGTTATCGATGAAATTTGATCCCGTTTGTTTTGTAATTAGATGTTTTGCTGTTTTTCCCACACCACCAAATAGAACAACACGGTATTATTAGAGATATTATCTTTATTACAATAAATACAGAATATTTTTTGGAATATACGGAGACGTACACACAGGTCAGTAGTTGGCCTGTCTATATTTCAATGCAAACTAGAGTTGATATTTACAAAGGCTGTATCGCTAATGTGTTACCAGGAATATATGGCCCTTATTTCGTCTCTATTTCTGGTTATATACTCGATGAAAAGAACGAATGACTTCCCAATATTGTCTATTCCTTACTAAAAATAGGAAAGAGAGAACGATATGTGAACTATATAATGCCATCTCTTTCTTTTTTGATGTTCCGAATCGTCTTATCGTAGTATATTGTTTACGTACTTAATGTTATTTACATTCAGAGAATATTGACTGTTAAAAAAAGAAAAGTATGTAATAATAAAATATTCTAAATATCTAAAATTATCTAAAATTGCGTTGGTTTTTAATAATTATTCCGCATTTTAATGAAGAAAAATAAATAAAACAAGCTGAGTCTTGATTTCATTGTGAATTCGGAACTATAGTCTAGTGTCAACTGTTAGTTTCGCCAAGGAGCATCGCGTATTTTTGTTTAACGCAAAATTATTTACTATGTGCTAATAAATAAAAAATAAACAAAATATTGGAGAGATATATGTAAATAAATAAGTTCAATTTAACTGTTAATCGTTACAAATTAATATTTAGACAATAAAACTGAAAATAATATTGTTTCCATTGCATCC